GTGCAGGTCGTCAGTGATGTGTGAGATTGTGCTGTGGGTATGCTTGTGGTGTGTTGGCTTTTCTGTTTGTTTTCCATTTCAGCTCTGTCCGTGTGACCCAGGTCCTCGCAATGGCATCCAAGTCAACGTGTATTGGTCGTGAAGGGAAAATGGGTTGGATCCCTTTTTTGCCGGGGAGTGTCAATGTAGTTGAAGATTGAACGATCAATTCTTGGTTGTTTGCTCAAAATCAACTTCCCCAATTTTCGCGGAGGCATCAATACGACAGTCATCATCTCATCGGTCGCTGTTCAGAAAGAAGTCAGCAGTAAACCGTCAGAAACCTTAGTTCAATTACTATTTTTATATGTTGGTGTAACAATAAAGAATTCTCGAGTGGCCAATCGGTGTTTTGGTTTTTCGTCCGTTATAACTAAGCGTTTCTGAAAACTTCAAGGAACAGCGTGAGCCCGAGCGTAGCAAGAGCTGGGCATTAACGGTTTATGAGGCTTGGCTGACAAATATCATGCCTTTAACTGGGATAGTTCGTACACTCATCAATAAAAAATAATAATAAATAAAATAAAATATGAATTCTGGCTGTTTGTCACAGCTTGCGTACAATATCTTTGAAAAATTGGCTCATGGTACGAGTCTTCTTCAGGTGGACATCTACCTGTATAAATCAGAACAACAGCATAAATCAGTTTTACTATACTTCCTCTTTTCTTTTAAATAACTTATGTACTTTGGCATTTGGATTTCACTTCTTCAGTTATTATTCGCAACATTACCCTATATAAGAGTGAAAACCATAATTGGTTTCGCCCTGATTTTTACTTTTTTTTATTGTTATTCTACACTTCAGTTGTTGTTTACTACTATAAACTTTAACTAACCGTAAGTATGTAACACTATAAAACTCAATGACTAGAAATTCCTAGTAATAAAAAAGGAGAATAAAAACTGCGGTTATCGCATATGGTTTACTTAAATTATTATTGTCTGCTGGCTGCTTCTGTTTTCTTCACTTCTCGAAGGTATTGCACTGAAGCACTGCTTATGGACAGTAATCCCGCTTTCTACATTAGTATTACTTGAGCGGTATCCAGAATATTGTTAGCACTTACGATGAACAACGGAACAAATTCCATTCTGAATTCTGTTCAACATCGCAAAGTTAACTTTGCGACCAATTGTCCCTTCTGTCTGCTAATACCAATATAATGCTGTACTTACCATCTAATGTGGATTTTTATAAACTTTCGAACCCTTACTGATTGATAAAATGATAATAATAACGGTCTGGATCCAGTGTGGCTTACTCTAGCACCTGTATATCACCTCTCTTCTTACATTCCATTAACGCAAAATTTCATAATTCCCACATGAATCTGACTCACTATTAGTTTATTAAATATTATAATTTAGACTTATTCCAAAATCTTATATTCTATTCTTATAAAGTTTCTAGAGGTCATTTTCCAATTTCTAATTTCATAAAACAGTGTTCAATTTCAGACTGCACTTGTCTAATATGATCATGCCTGTACAAACGGTATGTGAATCATGTAAATGCTTAATTTATATGAAATATATATTATTATTATCAGATCACCGTATTTTATCCGCTTTGAAAACCGTTTCGCAACACATCGAATGGATGTTAACACTGGCTCTATTACGGGCAGTCCTAGTTCGTGTATTTGGATCTAGTACATTTAGCAATAATAACCATAAGTAACACTTAGCCTTAAGGGTTACAGCTACTTTTAGTTCCCAAAAATACACACAAGCACAAAATATCCATACTTTTCATGCGGCTCAACCTTGTTTGACTCAGATTCTCCCACAATATGTTTTTTGTGAAATGATAGCAGACACACTGATGGTATATTCACATCCTCAAAATGCTTCAAAGCTTTTTCAACTTCAACCCGGGTTCTAAATTCTCCAGGATTATGTTCTCTGAAAACCTTGCTAATACCAACCTTGATCGTGATCACCTCACCAGATTTACTGGTAAATTATTGCATGCGGTAGACATGAACGTGAAAGACATTAGTTTTCCAGATTTCTACATGTTAAATAACTAAATGAGCCAGCAACAAAACCTGCAACCAACGAATGGGCTGAAAACAACTGATTCTATCAGCCAACATTTTGACGTGCATAATTTCCAAAACTTCTACGAAGTACTAATTCATTGACGACAAAGTTAAACTTTCGACACCACTAACAACCAATCACCAAACGACCTTGAACGGACCAATCACATTAAATAGGCATATATGATGAATGGAAACGTTTATTTATAGAAAAAAGCATAAAAAAGAAAAAACGGTTACAAGGGGTATCTTTCTCGAACATGCGAGAGAAATATCTCCCAGTTTAGCATGTGACTGTCAATGGCGAAGTCACACCACATCCTGTACTTATATTCATCTGAATGGCTATAAATGAGATCCTTTTGAGATTCATTTATAGCCCTTATCTTGTTTTTCAAGCGGCATCAAAAATTTTCAATGGAATTCGTATGAGTGCCCGTGACGGGATCCACCCAGCAAACAAATGATTTTCTCTATTTTACACGTAGCAATATCTCTGCAATGCTGGTACCACTAAACTGTTGAGACGAGACTATTCTCAGTCTCGGCAGCTGCTGCTCTCACCGGCTGCTTCAACACCCAGTAGTTGCAGATATACTAAATCTGGGTTAGGGAGAGATGCGACTTAGCGAAAAAAGTTCCTACGAAATATTAAAATTATCAGCTTACCCTCTCTAATAATAGCACGCTTCAAACACATAGCACAACAATGAACAAACCCATCAGTTGATCTGATGTAGCTTTTTAAAGTCATGATACAAACACAAGAACAAGTTTGCTCCTTCCCGAGCAACCCTAAATCCAGGCAATGCTGGAAAACACTGTCCTCCTCGAATTGCAACCGTAACCTTGTAAGGTCACGCATTAGAAATGAAACAAGCGCTCTACAACATTGAACTACGTTCGTGAATCTCATTGGATAGTTCGCTGATTGGTAGTTAGTGGTGTCGAAAGTTTAACTTCGCATCATTCACAGCTGAAAAACAAGTAAAACACTGAAAGCTGCATGAATGCATGAATGTACCCATCATCCAGTAGCATTTTGATACTACCAGCTTGTATGAACTCATTGAACTGATTCGAAGTCGCTTCCAGAACTACTGCCGTTTTGCACTTGTTAACAGGGATCACTACGATGCAGCATGGTGAGCGTTGGATGATGATATACAGCAATAGGAGTCTGACTCAGCATTAATCTCGCTGGGCTAACAAATTCTAAAAAACCAACTGTTTACGCTGTTGGGATGACTTCAAGCTCACTACCTGTTAGCTTCAGTTAGAAATAACGATGGTGGTTGCCGACTGGTCATCTGCGCTGCCATATCTGAGTTCTGGTCACACTATCTCCTGATTCTTAAGCCTGGCCGCCTAAACTGGTGGCTAGACTATTGTTAGCACCATTCCAACCAAAAAGGAGAGGATATAACTCTTACGGCTGTTCATGGATGTGCTTATTAACTACGGTGCGGAGGCAGTACAGAGATACACAATCCAACCATAATGCACGAACCTGTTCTTGTTTACTAAAAACACAGTTGTCCACCATGTGTTTCCTCCCACATAGGTAAAAACTGTTGTGGTTCAGTTCGACGAACTTCCTTGACTCCATATGCAGTCTCCGTCGTATTAATGAACGGGGTTTTCTTCAAAAATCAAAAATTATGCGAGCAGAGAAATCACTATTTATCCAGCAAGCCTGAGTGTCACGCTCACTGTAGTGAACTCAGCAATTAGTTTTATCGAGGGATTATCACTAATCCCGATATCTGGAATGAGAATGATGTTTGTCTTGTGATCACAGATAAGAAACAGACCTCATGTAACCTGCGCATATATTAGAAATTCATTTCCTCAATACCATGGAAGATGTTAATGTTCGCACTGGAGACGTATCAAGATGAACATTTACCACTTTCTTACATTGCCTGAGGTCTCTAAATAAGCGGTTTCACGAAGCAGAATATTTGCTGCGCTATATAAGTCACGAGCTGTGATGTTTCTCTTTAGATAGCTCTATTCAGTGTACATGACGCAAAAAGTTGTCCTATTGATGGTTCATTTATATAATAATCATAATGTATATTTTCATATAAACATATAAATTTACATGATTGGAAAGTAGTTAGTAGTTAATATAGGTGTTGACTGACTGGGTTCAATTCTGTTGGAAATCTTAGGTTGAGTTTTTTATTAGCCAACTAACCCCGCCCATATCTTCAGCTTCAATGATGAGAGCATATTAGGATAATATTTACTGCTCTTCCATATGCCGGAAGCAATTTTCTCCGAGCCACAAGTTTGCTACCTCAAGTAGATCCTAATATGAATATCACGTGTTCCAACTACGGCTTTCACTGTGTTTAGTCTGGCAGCTGCTTATTGAAAGTAGATATATCTCTGAGAATCATCCAGTAGTTTTAGTATCTTCCATACTCCGTTCAGAGCCCTAGGATGATTACACGAATGAGTATTCGAAAGACATTTATAAAGTTGTATTTGTAAAATATCGGCGAAATAGAAATGATTAATTCCAACGTTTCGTTCGGCAATCTGGTCCGAAGTTCCTCAGGGAAATTAATCGAAATTAACATAACAAAGGTTTATATATAAAGGAGGCATCTCTTGTTTTTTAAAACTTTGTCCAATCATGAGCCATACAACAGGTATCAACATGTTGCAACTATTCGGTCAAACCTTGATCACAGTTCATATGCAGTATTCAAAAGCTTTAGAAACAGGAAAAAGATGTCCGGGATTTTCCGAAAACCAGGTGAAAAATGATTTACCCAGATAGCACCTGTTTCACCTCATTTTTAGGAGATATTTGATGTTTTATGCTTTTAAAAGAAAATTGGACATTGTATCATATGTTGTTTGTGTTGTTACTGGTGTCTGTCACCATTTCAACTTGTAATGGAAGGTGGTAAGTTCTTTCTTTTGGATTTTGATCACATATCTTTTGATTTTAGTAGAATTCGAAGACGCTTCTGTGGGAAAAAGAGGGAAGAGACGCCGACAGAAGAGTGAGGCTAGAGGGTCCAAGAAACGTCTGAAGACGAAACATAGGGTACATCAATCGTTTAATCACTAATTAATCTGTTCATTTTTTTCGCAGGATGAAGATGACCCTTCCATAGTCATACCAAAAAGACGTTCAGATCGCGTTTCGAAGGTTTGTTGGTTTTGAATGCCTAGCTTTCCAGAAAGAAAAAACAGTAGATCAATTATGCGAAGAGTTAGGTATTGAAGATGTAGAAATGACATATTCAACTGAAGACTTCGAGAACTGGACCATTCAGAAGTTGTTCGATCAATACGTTCGCCCTCTTATTTCTAACAAAAACCCAAATGCGTCAAAAGAGGATGTTCAGAAAGTTTTGGATGCTAAGTGGAAAGAGTTTGCTATCATGAACCCATATATTCCAAAAGGGGAGGAAGGTAAAAGTTGACTTTTATGTTGACTGGATGTATTCAGATTTGGATGATGATTTTGATGACGGAGACACTGAGACACAAGATGATGACACTTCAGATGTCCGCGTTCAAAGCTTATCTTTCAAAAAACGTAGAGTTGCTGGAAAACATACAGCCCAGATATCTTCAACTGGTTATGCCACACCGCTTTCTGGGGGTGGTGGGAGTGAAGCCGCAAGCCAGTCTCCTCCGCCTTCACCTGTTCCTGTGCAGGCTACAACTCCTCCATTGAAAATACGCATAAGCAAAAAGAAAAGGAGGCGTGGTCGAAAGAAGGCTGAAGTGAGTACCTGGATTGACTATTATTGTAAGGGGCTTGATTTTTGTGCTAAGGTCACTTTCATTGGGTTTTGTTCATTGCATGCGTTTGTATAAAGGTATAGTGTGCTGGTTTAAACAGTTGACTTTCAATAAGTGATTTGTGCACATAAAGATTTCGTAACATCAGTGAGCAGATTGGCTCCTGCCCACTCTTTGTGATCCATGGTTATCTTTCACTTCTGTATTGTGTGCGGGTTTTTTTTCGGTATTTGCAACTCACAGTTAAGTATCGCTTCAAATAGTGAAGTGCTCATTTATATTGTACTTTTGCACTCATTGTTTCCTACTACTAAATCTGGTTGCAAAACAGTTTCAGGAGGTTAATTGTTGTGTAGGATTTATTTGAACAGTTGAAATGTGTAAATGCAGTGCGATATTTTCTGTTATACCTATTAAACAATTGTGTGAGACTGGGTTCGGTATGTTGTGCGACTGAATTCATCAATGAATATTTGACCTGTCGGTTGTAACGCTTGTATGGTCTGTAAAGTGCTTTCATCAACCTAGGTGTAAACAGAGGTGTACTTTCTGTAGCTAACTTGTTGTATAACCACCATTCATTCATAAGTAAATTGTTTATATAACTTGCTCTCAGATCATCCGAGGGGAACATTACCATTGTGCTTGTTGCTTAAAATGTCACAGGTACTGAGGTTCGATCACTATGAGTGTCATGGGAGTGGTCAATTTCCTTGTTGAAATAGTTGGCTAAAGCTAGGCGTTGCCACAGTTTCAGAAGTTTGAAAGTCTCAAAGATTTTGGAGTATAATTTGACTAGGTTTTTATCATTCACTTTTCTGATTAAGCGTTAGAGTTTCGCGGATCTTCCTGCTATTCGATCACAAGGTGATCTACACGTCCGGAATAGGCACAGTGGCAGTTCATTTTTGTGTATCCTCGGTATTTAAGACTTGGTGTAATCCTCGTTTGAGTTCCTCCCTATTCAAGTGTTTGTTCTTCAATCCCATTCATGCTTTCGCGAATTGTTTTTCAATTAATTCAGTCCTATTTCTTTCACTAACGAGTTCAGAGAATTCCTCTGTGTCGAGAAGTATGTGACACATTTGTGTAACCTTCACGATCCATGATATCAATCCAAGTAATTGAATAAAGGTCCTTATGGTGATAGGCTTCTGATGTTTTTAATCTTTGTTTTAACGGCTGTATCAGTTGTCATGTGAAACTACGGTGTTGAGTGCAGGCACTGTGTTGTAGGTAGGTGACATGCGCCGTTCTCAATAGCGCAGATGCATCCACTCCCTGTGACTTAAAATTTCCAATGAAACTATGTTGTTCTTCGTTATTACTATTCCCTTGTCTCCCACCTCTGTTTACTGTCTCTGTTATGCATTTCTTCTACTTTCTTCTATTGCTTTGTGTGCTACATGGAGTGTGGTGACTTGTACTACCGCACATAGGTGCAAAGTACTATATCGAAAACAGACAGACAGGTGACATGTTTGATGCCATCAGGATAGATGAGTAAGGTTGACAAATGCCAGATGAGTCTTTTGAATCAGTGCCGGTATGTCGTCATCAATCAGTCCATTAGGGCTGGTATGACTTCCGAAATATGTGAAGTAGTTCATTTGGATGTCAAACATTGGTGCTATAACATTCAGGTGTGTGAATGTTGAGGCATATTCATAACTGCCAGTCGAGGTCGTGAACTTACAACTGCTGGGTCAGGGGTTCGAACCTTGCTACACCTGGTTAGGTTTCTGAGGTTAAATTTATTGTTAGTGCTCACACAGGTGTGGTTCATTGTTACCTGCGTGAGGATACATATGGTTCTTGGGTAACATTTCATTTCGTAATGTTCAATATAGTATCTGTTTCTGTATCAAAACTGTCATGATCTAGATCTTACAAGTTCTCATAGGTGGTTTCCGAAATACGGCTTTAATTGAGTAGTTTGGCAACCTGTTTCTATGCTTTTGGGCTTCTATAGGTATGGCTTTATTGTGAGTTATCCATCGTTGTCGTCTCATAGTCTCCGCTTACTCCCCGACCGGATGCTTTCCGGATGAATTAAAGGATGATTTTTACCAGAAACTGTCTAGTTTGCTGCAAAAAGCAGAACTCAGATATAGCAGACGACTTGAATGCCCAAGTAGGAAACTTATGCCAGACTGTGAAGTGCATGGCTGGTACGTACAGAATTCCCTGCCGATGAACCTACAAGTGGTCATTTTCTACAGTTCTGTTCAGATAATCATCTGTTCCTAGTCAGCACTAACTTTAGGCACAGAAACATTGCCTGACCTGGCTACCTCTATCACCAAATCAACTTTGGACTCAAATATACCACGTAGCGACGGGGTATCGTTGGTGAGGGTCAGTAGAAGACTGCCACTCCTTCTGGAACACGTGCGTAGACTCCGGTCATGCCCTAGTTCACACACTGTTATGATTACGACTAAACGGACACAAAAATGTTGCCAGCGAGGCGATTACGCCACCAGTTTCATCAGGACACGAGGTCGACAACAGGACTCCTCCTGAAGAGGCCTGGGACAACATACAGTTAGCTTTAGACACAGCTGTGAAGACTGTTAATTACTTAAAACCGAAAGTTAGTAAGAGCCATTGGATTTCTACCACCTCATCCGAACTGATGGACGCGAGAAGACTGAAAAGACCGGCGGGCTCCGAATATGATGAGCGAAAGCTGCTCAAACACGAACTAACAAGGTGTTTTCTCAACGACCGTCAACAGTGGCGGGTGACAAAAGCAAAAGCAGATGGGAAAAGCATTGGTGATAGGTGACACCAAACAAAAGGGAAATGATTCGTGAAACAATCTCTGAGAAAAGTGGCACCCTAATTAGCCCTCGGGATAGACAACTGGAAAGTTGGGAAGAACACCTTGAGGGGCAATTTAATTGGCCTGCAGCCACTCTCAACTTGCCCAGCATCCAACACTTCCCTGAATGGGATGCAAACAGACCGTCCGTCCCTAAATGAAGCTGCAAAAGCTGTCACTACTCTGAAATGAGGAAAAGCAGCGGGTCCCGATAGAATGACTCCAGAGGTGTTTAAGGGTGGCGGAGACAGTTTACTGTCTGCGTTAACTAAGGTGTTAGGCAGCATCTGGGAATCAGAGGTAGTCCCGTCGGTCTGGTCATTGATTATCCCGATATGAAAGAAGGGAGACAGGTCTTCCTGTGAGAATCACATGAGGATTAACTTAATCAGTATGGTAACTAAGTTTCTAGGCTCAATAATCAAGCAAAGACTAAGTGGTGCTCGGGGGGAACAGACACGAAAGAACAATGCAAGCTTCTGACCAGTAAGAGGGTGTATTGATCATATCCTTACTCTTCGACAGATTCTGGAATATAGGCATATCCACCAGCGTCCACAAGTCGCCACATTTCTTAACCTAAAGACAGCATTCGATTCTGTCGACCGGGAGGTACTATGACGATGTTTGGCTGTGAAGGGAATGCCGAGAAAATACATTGCGCTGATCAAGGCACTCACTGTACTCGAACTGATGCAGTCGACCAGGTGAGAGCCTACGGCGAGTTGTAATCTGAAGTGGTGACAACCAGTGGTGTCCATCAGGGATACTGACTGTCCCCATTTCTGTTTAATTTCATCATAGATGTACTAGTAAACTTAACCCTAACTGGCTTCAGGGACTCAGGGATTGACTTGTTACCATCAGGGAATAACCCTGTTGATTTAGAATTTGCAGATGATATAGTTCTCCCTGCTAGATGAAGAGGCTGACGAAATGCAGAGTCTTCTGAACACCTTGGGCCGCAATCTTCAAATGTTTGGCATGCGATTCGCTCCCTCCGTCAAATTTTAGATGATACTTGCTCCAGAGCTGGACTACATTGACTCCTAGCTTAAAGATAGGGAGTGAGTGAAGTGGTAGAGCGTGTTAATCACTTTACTTATTTGAGGAGTTGCATCAGCCAACGCCAGCGGATTGATCACTGACGAAGTCTCAGCACGGAGACAGAAGGCTCGCTTAGCATATGCTAACATAGGCCATCTCTGGAGTACACCCGATATCTGGCTGTCGACCAGAGGGCGTGTGTACTGCTCAGCAGTTCGCTCTGTCCTCCTTTATGGCTGGCTGTGGAACATGGGCATATAAAGTAGAAGATACGAAAAGGTTAGTTAGCTGTCTTTGATCATAGCTGTCTGCGTCCTATCTGCCATGTTAAGCGGTATAATAAGGTGAGCAATATTGGGGTGAGGTGTCGAGTGCTAGGTAAGGAGAGGAAATTAATCGGCGAGGTGGTTGTGTGGTTAGTCATTGAGATGGTTAGGACATGTGTTAAGTATGCCTGGCCATCGCCTTCCTCGACGGGAGATGTTAGCTGACTGACATAGGATCAAGTTGGAAAAGAGTCAGTGGTGGTCAAACTAAAACATGGCTTCATCAGTCAATGAAACCCACAACAGTTAGTTTAAGCCAGCTATGTAGAGAGGTGTAGACTGCTGTTTGGTTGTTGTCCTCGGGATGGTAAAAACCAATGGCTGGAGACAATTGGTAATACGGTTCAAAATCGTTCTCGGTGATGGCTGAGACGCATCTGCTCCTTGTGATTCATAATATCCAGTAAAATTCTACTGTTCTCCCATATTACTATTCTTTTCGCCTCATATTTCTGCCTATTATCTCTCTTTTGAGTCTTTCTTTACTTTCTCCTCTTGCTCTGTGTGCTACATGCTGTGTGGCGATTCGAAATGCTGCACATCAGTGCAAAGTTCTACGTTGAAAGCAGTTAGTCAGTCAACTTTATTGTGCCCTTCATCATTCGTTTTGGAAGGTTACATAACCCTCGGAAATCTTTACAGCGACTACTTATTAGGTTTGTTTTTAGTGTTTAGCTGCTGTGTGGTTTAGTGTAGAATAATGCTGGTGCAAGCAGTTCGCAACGTTGAATTTATTAGTTCTATCTACCCATACGTTATTTAAGAATCCATTCATAGTCTTATCCTAATATATTATTTCCTAACGTTTCGTGTAGGAGCGGTCTGTTGGAGGTCATAATACCAGCGATGAAGAGTTTGAACGTCAGTTAGAAGAAGCTGAACTGGCTCAGGATGAAGAACGTGACCGACGTAAGCGTTCAGTGAAGCGACCTAGTTCTGGCAGTAGTGGACTTGGAGCGAAGTCATCTGATACTAGTTATCTGTCAACGAAAATAAGTCATACTCACCAGAAGACGACTGCGCGATTTCCCCTTGTTGTTGCAAGAACTGTCGCTAGGATAGGTGAGGAAGAAGGTTATGAAACTGATCATCAGGATTACTGTGAAGTTTGTCAGCAGGTAAGTTACGTACATTCAGAATGCATGTACTTTCAATATTGGGTTAGTTTACAGAATATTTAAACATTTATTATTCTACAGAGTTTTTTAAGATAACTTTATTTTTTTTTTATGCAGGGAGGTGAAATAATGTTGTGCGATACTTGCCCCCGTGCATATCACTTGGTGTGTTTAGATCCTGAATTGGAAGAGGCCCCTGAAGGAACTTGGTCTTGTCCTCATTGTGAAAAGGAAGGTATCACATCAGTTTCAAAAGCACCTAAAGAATGTGAAGATAGTGGTTCCGAAGCGGCTGTTACATCAGATAAGAATGGTAAAACTGTTTCTGCAGCTCATGTTCCGTCACCTGAGAAAGACGAACACCAAGAATTTTGTACTGAATGTAGAGATGGTGGTGACCTTATTTGTTGTGATAACTGTCCTGCTAGTTACCACATAGGTTGCTTGATTCCACCCCTAGCTAATATACCCGAAGGAGTTTGGCTGTGCCCACGATGTGGATGTAAGCCACTTAAGGGTAAAGTATCGAGAATACTTACATGGAGATGGTTTGAACCTCCAAAAAATGGAGATGAACTTGTTCATACACATCATCATCAGCATTCACAAGAACCAGCACCAGAAGAAATTGGAGAAAAGAATTTGAAACCTGAAAATACATCCGATGATATTAGTACTGTTCCAGACAATAATCCAGTGGTAGATACTATTAATCCAACGCCAGTAACATCAGAAAGACCTGAAGAGCCTTCCACTGACACTGTAGCTGAATGTGAGTCGAAGCCTGTTGCAGAAAAAACCAATACTTTGTCAGCACAACAGCAACCTGTTCCAGTGAAACCGATACATGTAAGGCGTCCCACAAGAGAATTTTTCGTTAAGTATTCCGATTTGTCATACTGGCATTGTGAATGGTTAACTGAATTACAATTGGATGTTCATCACCCAATAATGCTGCGGAATTACTTTAAAAAAAATGATATGGAAGAACCTCCACTTCCGGAAGATGGAAGTACTTACAGGTACGATTTTATTTAACTTCATTTGGCAGGTAATATATATTCAGGATATTAGATTTTTGGAGTGCCACAAATATTCTGTATTAGTGGATAATAACGTGTCACTGTTTTGCTTTTTGATTGCATAAGGTTGCTGCCACCTAGATGCGGTGGTCGGGAATGTGTATCTCACCTGTTTAACAAGCTGTACTGTCTGAAACATATATTCCTGTGGGTTCTATCATGCTAGAGAGTTCTGTTAGGTGGTGGTCATACTCAAAGAATTTATCATTACGGAGTAAGTTGCTTACTTTGTGGTTATGGTCTAAGGATAAAGTTATACTTCTGGTAGATAGTGATGTTACATCAGGTAGCTGTTTCCCTTGAGTAGACAGCTCTGCCACTTTCTCGCTATGTGACGGGGGTTGAAGAAGAACGGTCCCAAAACTGTACATTCAAACCCAGCTTACGACAGGCCGTACTAGGCTGTAAGGGTTTTCAAACAGACGAAACCCCATCAATTCCACTCACAAACAGCCTGTATTTGACCGGTCTCAAGTAGTTCGCTCCTGGTCTCTGGGGTAACGCATCACTAATGCTTTGTCTCTTCCACAAAAGGTGGTCTGGACTTAACAAGTGCCTGCGTCTTTCTATTAGCAAACAAAGTTCTTCTCTTCATCACCAAACCTAATCTTCTTCCTTTTTCCCCGATAATACAGTTCCACAGACATTTCCTTCAATTTCTATAAACTCTGTGACCGTTGCCAGTGAATTGAGCCAGAGAAATGCTTTACAAGTCTCTTAAAATCACGGTTAACTTCATGTAAAAGTTCTCAACGTCCGAACCTTATGTAAAATTAGGCAACATGTCTCACTAATGGGAGCTCTGATGTCTTGCATTTTAGGTTTATTTTATGTATCTGTGAGACACTGACACATCCAAGTGTAGTTGTTCGCTTGGTCCCACCTGGCGAACATAGTGATGCTTCATAATCCACCGTGAGGGTGTCAAGAGATTGTTTAGTACCGGTGAACTCTCTGGTTTAAGGATACTACCATGTTCAAGAGCATGAAAACCGCTACTTGGGTGGAATGTAATAGACGGTCATGTGTGTGTCTTGATCGAGTGTATCCGTAATAATGAGGAAACGATATCATGCTCGTCAGTCTCTCTATGTAATTGCCCCCTGAGTAATTACAAATGGAGAGAGCTACACAGAAGAGGAACATATACTTCACATCGTGCAGAGCGAAAGCCACTCAGGGACGAAGTGACTACAAGTAGTCGTAAATACTGTAACGAAAATGGAAACAAACAAGAATGTATAAGGCATCATCAGTAAGTAATACTTGTTAACCGTTGAGGCTTCTCAAGGAGGTGTGTAGAGAAAATTTAGGAAAATGAAAAAGTACCTGAAAATGATAGAGGTCTATTTATTTTCCCGGGGGAGAATGATGAAATTTTTGGTAGAATATTGGGGAGTATTTCAAATCTTTATTTGGTCAGAAGTTTCAAATCGCTTCCTCTAAATACAGTGTTGTGCTACAAGATTAGTTTGCACTGATTCCTGGCTTGTGCATAAAAAGTGAATGGATTGGATTTGTTGAATATTTTACATACCTGTAAAGTTGCGGTACCCTAAATGGAGTGAGGAAATATTAATGCATATACAAAAGACATATCGGTGTGTGCTACTTGCCTTTAACATAGACGTCATATCAGGCTTCTGAGGGTGTGTGAACTGAGCTTCAGTTCGTTGTGCCATACTTTTTTAAGACTAAGGTATGGCCACTTAAAGCAGAAGAGGCGAAAAGTCGAGCGGTTTTTGACTCCAGGTACCCTCCTTCAGTCTCCCTGTTAGGTTGATAGTAGTAGTAGTAATAGTGAGAATAGTTTTATGGTTTAGATAGAAGGGGAATTCAGTTGATTAGTTTGTCAAGCTTCATCGTGTCATGTGTCCAGGATATATCTTACGCATATATCTGGTCAGTTTCTTTTGTAATGAGAAATATTGGTTGAAGTAGGATTATGTTGTAAAAGAGTTAGGGGCCATCAGACCAAAACACACGTCATTTGTAAATTAAGTTTTTGGCTATTGATTTGAGTTATGTAGGGAGGTGTAAACTGTCTCGGTTGAGATCCTCAAGATCAGTGGTTGGCAAGGGGGAGCTTTCACTGACATGTTTCAAATTCGTTCACAGTGGTGGAGATGTGCTCACTTCTTGTCATCTTCCAAATCCTGATCATATTCCATCCTATACATCTTCGTCCATTGTAGTTTCATTACATTCATTTTCTGTATTTTGTGAGGTGTGGCAGCTTTAACTACTGAACTCTTGGCAAAAGTTCTGTGTTGATAAGTTAACCAGTTATTTTATATGATAAATGCCTAAAATATTTAATCTTTTTAGGTTTTAATCATGATTTACACAAATATGCGTAAATGTGCTCTCTCTCTTTTTTCAGTTGGTTGCACATTCACTTTTTGGTTGTTTTAGATAATGATTTCGATTGTTATAATGACTTTGTACGATGGAAGTCAATAGATTTAGTTTTACAATATTTACTTTTCTATAAGCAGTTTTTTAATCACTAAGACTAAGAGCTAATTTTCCTTCATATAAATTTACAAGGTCAAATGTTACTTCTTGTTCACCAAAGTACAGAGTTGTAGCATTTATACTTTTAGAATTCGAACAGTATTGCATTTGAAAAAAGGCTGTTATAACTGTATAGTGTTTGTAATCTGGTATACATCGTATTTGTTTTCTTACAACATATTGTTTCATATTTTTAGCACTTATGAATTTAACAGCATCTGTGAATCCCTTGGTTTTAAGCACTCTTGCAACAGGAGAACCACATTTTAAGCACTTAACGTACTACGATGGTGTGTCGGTGATTTAGTGGTAGAATACTCTCCAACTACTCACGTGGTTTGGGGTTCGATCTCTGGCCGACTCACCCCTAAACCTCGCTTAACCGATAGTAAGCCCATTTGGATGGTTTGATTGCATTTCACGAAAAGTTGCAGAGGTCCACTTAAAGATTAGAGTTTCTGTTTGTTTCGCCAGTGTTTTCTTCTTGGCAAAAATGCCTGTAAAGAAACAAATAATTGAGACTCAGTTCTTAAAATGTTATATTTGACTTTTCATGTATATTGAGAGAATATTTATCCTGTGCGTATTTGAGTTTTGTAACATTTATGTGTTTGTAATTGTATGCAAAATGTTTTTCTTCATTTCAGAGGACGGGCTCGTGAGAAAGTTGCAGACCCTCATAATTTAGAGGAACGCTTCTACAAATGGGGTGTCAGACCAGAGTGGTTGCAACCACAAAGAATTATTGACCATCGAACTGGCAGAGGAGGCCAGACTTGGTATCTCGTCAAGTGGCGTGATCTTCCCTACGATGAATGTACATGGGAAGCTCGGGATGGAGAAGTTGTGGATATGGATAAGTATATTGAAGAATATCGAACAATGCGAAAAGTTTTCATGGGGCACTTATGTAGTACTGCTGGACCTGATGGTTCACTATCGGTTGTTAGTTTATGCAAAAGACATAAACCGGGTCGTCGTTCTTCAAAGGAACTTGCTGCTGAAAATATAAGCCCTGAATTACTCCGTAAATTACCCCTGATAGGTGTTTGACGGACTTAAAGAAGCAGTACACTACGCAACCGAGTTTTCTTGATGAAACAGATGGACAATTGCACGAGTATCAGTTGGAAGGTGTTAACTGGCTTAGATTTTCCTACGGTAATAAAATCGATACAATCCTAGCTGATGAAATGGGTTTGGGGAAGACTATACAAACAATTGCATTTCTTTATTCTCTTTACAAAGAAGGTCATTGCCGTGGTCCATTTCTTGTCGCTGCACCTCTTTCAACTATTATTAATTGGGAACGTGAATTCGAATTTTGGGCTCCAGATCTTTATGTTGTCTCTTATATTGGTGATAAAGATTCACGAACGGTCATTAGGGAACACGAATTCTCATTTGATGAAGGTGCTGTTCGTGGTGGCGCTAAAGCAATGCGAATGAGAACTGGTACTTCAGTTCGATTTCATGTACTCCTGACAAGTTATGAATTGATCAGTATTGATCAGGCTTTACTAGGTTCCATTGACTGGGAAGTTCTTGTTGTAGATGAAGCTCATCGCCTTAAAAATAATCAATCAAAGTTTTTCCGTATTTTGACAACTTACAAAATAGCATATAAACTTCTGTTGACTGGAACTCCTCTTCAAAATAATCTGGAGGAACTCTTCCATCTGCTACATTTTATGACACCAGAGAAGTTCAATGATATGCAAGGTTTCTTAGATGAGTTCGCAGATATATCAAAAGAAGAACAAGTGAAGAAACTGCATGACATGCTTGGTCAGCATCTACTGAGGCGTCTCAAAGCTGATGTGCTTCAAAATATGCCATCTAAGGGTGAATTCATCGTAAGGGTAGAACTCAGCCCTATGCAGAAGTAAGTTACTTTTTATACATGTATATACATTGATTAGTGAATTCTTACAAAAATTAGGATTTATTCGACCACTTCGAATAAAAGTTACGTTTGCCAGTTGATGACTATTCTTAACTAAATCAATTCATGTGCAGTACAGTTAGTCATATTGTATTAAATTTTCTTTATTTTGGAATCATTTGTACTTTCCTATCATACTTCCGTCCTACATCAGTGATTTGGTCGATGCATGACTTGTTTCTCCTGAATCCAATTTGTTCTGGTCGAAGTTTTTCATCCAGAGCGTGTTTGATTCTCTCCAGGATGATACGGCTTATTATTTTGCTTGGAATGGACAGGAGCATAATTCCGCACCAGTTCGTTCATTGACCTAAGTCCCCTTTCTTTGGCAGTTTGAATAAGTAACCTTTCCTCCAATCAGCAGGTTCCTTGCCCTCATTCCACACCTTCTCCAGTAGTGGTGTCATCAAGTCCGCTCAAGTCTCTGGGTCCATTTTCAATTCCTCTGCCCAGATTCTGTCCGGTCCTGCTGCTTTACGGTCCTCACGACTTCTTCCTTCCTCTGGGGGTTGGTATCCACCGGTAGTTCTGATTTCACTGTTGGTATTGTTGGGTGCGTTGTAGGTGGCGGACGATTTAGAAGTTTTTTAAGTGTTCAGCCCAGTGTTTTCTTTGCTCCACCTCTTTGGTGATTGACTTTCCATTGTCATCATTGACTGGCTTAATCTGTGTCGAACTTTTGCCCGATAGGTTCCTAGTTGTTTGGTAGAGTGTTGCGAGGTTTACTTTGCCTGCAGCTTGTTCTGCTTCACTTGCCATAGCTCCATAACTTCTTTTGTCTTCCCTGGCACTCTTATTAGCTCTTCTGTTCAGTGTATTGTAGTTTGAATTCAAATCCTGTGTTTTGTTGCTTTTCGATGAAACTGGATAATCTTAAGTTTCACCATCCTTCTTTCCTCTATTAGTCTCCATGTGTCTGTTTGTCGTGTCTCTTTTTTCTGCCTAGAGCTTCCATGCAGGTTTGACTCCACAGCGCTTTCAGGTTGTCCCAGTGCTTTTCGATGCTGACATCTTCGCTAGTGCTGATTTGTGTCTCCACCTTTTTCCTTATGATTACAGTGATGTTTTTTGTATCCTGATCTTTCAGTTTTTGATTATTGAACTTGGCTTGCGGTCTATCTGCAGCTCCTATTTCCTTGAAAGTTTTTAATTTGACTTGGAGTGTTCGTTGCACAAGATAGTGGTCTGAGCCTACGTCCGCTGCTCTTCTAACTTTTGTGTCCAGTAAGCTGCGTCTCCACTTCCTTGAGCACCATTGGGATGAGGTCGATTTGGTTTTCGGTTCTGACGTCTCTTGACACCCTTGTAGCATTGTGGATATCTTTGTGCTTGTATACGCTACAGCCAATCACTAGTTCATTGAAGACACAGAAGTCAGAGAAGAGTTCTCCGTTTTCATTAATCTCTCTGAGTGCTTCTCAACCCATAATGAGTTCTCTTCTCGTGTTGTGTGGTCTCAGTTTGGCGGTCATAACTTCGCAACTTTGTGTAACTTGATATAATTATGAGCAACAAATTGTACTCAAGACATCATCAGTAAATATTACTGTATAACACTGTGAGACTTTATCAAAATAAATTTTATCTGCAATAGAACTTCCTAGCCTGGTTATGAAAATAAGTTGCTATCTGTTTCTGAAACTGTAAAGCTGATTATGTCACTCATGGACTGAATAAAAAAGACACTGAGACAGTTGGCTATTACCAACCGTTGAAAGAGTCAAAGTTATCACTTTTTTGGGGGTATAGCGGTCAAAACTTGATCAAGGAATGTAACTTATTCCCTAGGTATCCGGTAGGGGTTATTTCTTCATCTAGGAAATAAAAATGCGAAACGTATTCATAGAGAGAAATGAGTTTATCAGCAATTACACAGCATCGGCGTTTATTACCCAACCGCATTCTAGCCACTAGTCCATCGTACCTTATTTACGTTCTATCTCCCGTTTTAAGTGATATAGTATGGTAAGTAATATTAAGGTTAGGCATAAAGTATTATGTAAGGAAGGGAATGCAGTCAACCAATGAGGTTGTGAAGCTACACTGGTTGAGACGGTCGGGGCGTGTGTTACACATACCGGCTACTCAGGAAGGTGTAAACTACCTGGTTGCGATCCTCGGGATTAAAAGAACCAATGTCTGGAGATTTTCGGTGATTTGGCTCTAAATTGTTTTCAGTGGCAAAAATGCATTCATCATTTGTAATCTCGCAGATCCATCAACTCATGTTTATAAGTTATTATTCTTTTAGAAAACAGAAAGATTGAGCGAAGAAATATTTACTTTTCAATTAGATCCTCATCTTTCTGTTTTCTAAATGTCTAAATGGGGATTTTTTTCTATATTATTATTCTTTCTCGCGTAGATTTCTACTGCTTATGGTTCTTTTGAATTCCTTCTCTTTATTACCTTTGTGTGGTACATGGAGTGCTGCGACTTTGAACTGCTGCTGTTCTGTGCAAGGTCGTATGTTGAAAGTCATTGAATGTAACTATATGTATTTTAATTCCCGTCGATAATCATCCTCCTGAAATTAAAAAAAATACTTAAAGGGGGACTTTGTAAGCCTGTACAGTGTGGTAACTGATAAATTGTTACAAAACCGAAGCAGGGCATAACGAGGATGAGATTTTAATAGATATGGTCGTTTTTATTATACTTTGGTGCTTGCAATTTTAATTTTCTGTTGCAAAATGAACCTGTAGAGTTATGTGTGCAAGATTTCTAGGGTAATAGTTTCAATACCAAGCTGGGTGTGTTTTGTGGTAAAGCTGATCGTGCTAATGTATGCCGTCATTTTCGTTCTTTTCATTTGAGTAGGGTAATTTACGAATGCTTTTAGAAGTGTGAAAATATTCACTACTATTTTCCTTTCTTTTATGTGAAGGCGCTACTATAAGTTTATACTCACTCGCAACTTTGAGGCATTAAGCTGTCGCAGTGGAGGTTCACAAGTTTCTTTGATCAATATTATGATGGATCTCAAGAAGTGTTGCAATCATCCATTTCTTTTCCCATCTGCTGCAGAAGAAGCACAGCGTATGCCCAATGGTGCTTATGAAGGCGTTGGACTCCGTAAAGGCTCTGGAAAATTAGAATTAATGAGTAAGATGTTAAGAAAATTGTATGAAACAAAACACAGAGTATTGATTTTCTCACAAATGACAAAAATGCTTGATCTTTTGGAGGACTTTTTGGATTCTGAAGGTTATAAGTTTGAAAGAATCGATGGTGCTGTTACTGGTCAACTTCGTCAAGATGCTATCGATCGTTTCAATGCTCCAGATTCACCTTCGTTTGCATTTTTGTTATCCACTAGAGCTGGTGGCTTAGGTATAAATTTAGCCTCTGCAGATACAGTCATCATTTATGATTCGGATTGGAACCCACATAATGATATCCAAGCATTTTCTCGTGCTCATCGTATTGGCCAGTCAAATAAAGTAAGTCGAAACACTAGTTTTTAACGGTTGCAGAAATATCATTTTGATAAATATGAACAAGTAGAAAACCTAGACTCAAGGATTATTGTCGATTTATTCTTAACATCAAAAACTGTCTCACTATAATGCATACCATCACATACTTCAAATACCATTTTGCGTCTTTTTTAAGTAGGTTTTGACCAAAGTATAACCTAAGTCAAGCAGTTCGATTGGTAACCGTAAAGTAATAATCCTATCTAAATTAGAAATATGTTACTCTGTATCGTTTGTTAGCTCTCATATTTTCGTATCCCAAAGGGTATTTTGCATTCACATTTAAGGGAATTCACTCTATTGTTTTGATTGTGTTTTGATCTCTTTATGCTATTGTTTCAAAACTCGTGGGTAACACAAGTCATTGTAAGTATTTGTCTGCTTTAGGTTATGATTTATCGATTTGTCACCCGTGGGACAGTTGAAGAACGTGTTACGCAAGTCGCAAAGAAAAAAATGATGCTAACTCACTTAGTTGTTCGCCCTGGATTAGGTGGTAAAGGTTCATGCCAGATGTCCAAGAAAGAACTTGATGATATTCTTAAATTTGGAACTGAAGATTTATTCAAGGAAGGTGAAGAGAACAGTAAGTTACCGAATTCATTTCCCCTCCCTCTACTGTCGACTTATAGATTTCAACTTGCATCTTTCATATTCATAGAATTTGAACGCTGATAAAGTATGTTTTCCTGTTAGATTACGTTACAGATGCATGATACAACAAATCAGTGTTTTAAGATTAAAGGATCACGATTTGTCGCAGTGTAAAAAGAAATATGCTTGAAAAACACACCGTGTATGTAAGAACAAACTTACGTGAATGTCTTCTAAGGATGTAAAAAAGAGAATTCATCTGTATTATTGGAATTTCCGTCTATATTTTTGACAGTCTCCAACCATTTGCAACCAACGCCGCCTTTACAGTTTAATTTTCATATTCAGATCTATCCAGTCATCAGTAGATGTATACATTTTACTGCCTTCGTCCGTTCATTCTTAGAATTCTTCTGACTCATTTGTTAGTTCACTTAATATTGTGCATTACTATAGCTTGCAGCTACTCTGAGCATTACTTATACTTGAATTCTATTGTAAACTAGGAGTACTTCAAAGACTACCGTGGTCAGTGTGATTAAGAATTTCAGCAGTCAAGCGTTCAAAGTTTAAACTGCCTGTTGTAGTAGAGACTTATTCAAATGTTCATATTTTCTTGTCAAAAGTTCTCAGTAATACACTTTCTAGATTTCTTATTGTGTATATTCTAAAAGTTTACTACAGGTTATTTAATACTGATACTATCTTAGGTTTAGATTTTTACTGCTATTCACTGTCATTACGAAAGTTCATTAAGTTCACGTTACTCTCACATCTAACTGTAGTGCGAGGTAATAAGCATGTATACATTGTTCATGCATATATCAGTTTACAAAACTAGAGATCTGATGAAATCACCTCGATTCATGCACTGTTCAGCGGTACTCACTGATCTCCTACAGTATGACTGAGAAAGACTGTCGTTAAGGTTAGATTTATGCAGGCTTCAAGCAGTTGATTACCTTTATGTTCATGAAAGCTTTAGGTATTTTGTGGAGTCATCACTTCAACAATGTCAGGAATAGGCTTATTCGTCATTCGAAAATAAATGCCATTTAATGAACCTGTAAGCTTTTGTTCGTTGAGATGGTTGTAATGATGTATTTCATATGCCCCTAGACATTGTGTACCTTATTTCATAACAATAGCTAGCGTAAGTTTAGAATGAGAAAATGTTAAAAGTTGTTGAACTCAAACGTGACACCAATTTGTAACTACCAACGATAAATTTAATATTTGGGTCCTGTGATGCAATCAGGAGACAGATTTGCACTCGAGATAGTGTAGTCAAGAGTAGATTTATGTAATGCTGAGATATACTCTCATTACTTGTGATGTTGATTGTAACATCAAATTTCTCTACTAGGATTTCGTAACCCCACCATATTCTGTGTTGTTGTTACGGACTATTATCTGTCATTCTGGTATCCACTAAGTATCACATGTCCTTATATAACAGATGTAAGATGGCTTTATATAGTACATTGCTAGAATCAGTCTGTTTGTCAATAAATTGCCTTTTTCTGCTCATATAAGAGAAGCCTTGAAACTTAATAATTGCCCTGATAAATTAGTCTGGAAATATGTAGGGAAATGTGAAAATAAAATAAATAATGATAAGTAGTGATAGTGATAATAATAATAATAATATAATGACGACATGCATGTCAAATATGCGCAAGACAACACCAACAATTATTATTATTATATCCTTTAATACCTAGAGGAACATAGGGCTTCAGCTGCGCGTCTCCATTGCCTTCTGTTTTCTACCAACTTTTTCACCCCGCTCCAAGTCTGCCCACATTCTTTCATCTCCTCCTCACATGACCTCCTCCAAGTCACCCTTGGACGACCAACTCGCCGCTTCCCTTTCGGGTTCCACTCGAGGGCTTGTCTAGTGATGTCACTTGATGGTTTCCTCAGGGTATGGCCAATCCATCTCCATTTCTTCCTGCCTATTTGTTTCACAATCGGTTCCTGGTTGGTTCGCTCATTGCCAGAGATCCCTGTTGCTGATCTTTTCTGGCCAGCCATCTGATCTTGAGTATTGAGCGAAGACAACTGTTGATGAAGGTCTGAATTTGTTTGAGATGCTCTTTATGACGCGCCAAGTCTCTGATCCGTATAGTAGCACTGAATTCACATTGGAGTTGTAAATCCGGATCTTATTTTCACTTTCATGCTGAGTGCTGTTGACCTCCACACAGATTTAAGAGTAATGAAAGCTTGTCTTGCTTTTCCGATCGCCGTGCTTTGATATCCTCGTCAGTTCCGTCTGCCTGTAGTTGAAACGACGCTCCCTGGTTAGGTAGGTAAAGGAGGTTGTTCCTTTCAGGTTCCTCCCATTTATGCTGATTGTTGTCTGTTGTTGTTGCTGCTGTTGGTGTTGGCCAAGAATCTTCATCACCTCTGTTTTATCTATGTTCACTTGAAGTCCTATCTTTGATGCTTCTTCTGCCAGCTTGTTGCTTTTCACTTGCATATCTTCTAGTTTGTGGGAAATCAGACATATATCATCGGCGAAGTTCAGATCCTCAAAGTTTTTTGTGTGAGTCCATTTTATGCCTGTTTCCTCATTGGCCGTTGTCTGTCGCATTATCCAATCTACTGCAATCAGGAAGATCATTGGCGATAGTAGGCAGCCAGGTTGCCTCACTCCCGTCCACACTTCGAAGGCTTCCGTAAGTTTCCCGTTGTGGATTACTTGGCATGCATCATTGTCGTATAACTGTTGGATGAGATGTATAATTGTCGATGGGACCCCGTAGTAGCGAACTAGTTGCCAAATGACCTCTCGATCGACGCTGTCGAAGGCCTTTACAAAGTCGATGAAGTTGAGTGAGGTGGAGAGGTGACTGCCGTTCCAAGCTTTGTTCAATGATGATCCGTAGAATGGCGATTTGATCAATACATGACTTGTTTCTCCTGAATCCAGCTTGTTCCGGTCGGAGTTTTGCATCCATGCCTTGTTTGTTTCTCTCGAGGATCATGCGGCTTAGTATTTTGCTTGGGATGGACAGGAGAATAATTCCGCTCCAGTTCGTGCATTGAATTAAGTCTCCTTTCTTTGGTAGTTTGAATAAATATCCTTTCTTCCAATCCTCAGGTACTTGGCCCTCTTTCCACACTTTCTGCAGCAGTGGCGTCATCAACTCCGCTGTTGTTGCTGGGTCTATTTTGAAAGCTTCTGCTGGGATTCCATCTGGTCCTGCTGCCTTCCCAGCTTTTAGCATCTTAATTGCACTCAGGACTTCTGATTTTGTCGGGGGGTCAATGTTCACTGGTAGTTCTGCTTCCGTTGTTAGTATTGTTGGGCGCGTTGTAGGTGGCGGACGATTTAGAAGTTTTTTTAAGTGTTCAGCCCAGTGTTTTCTTTGCTCCACCTCTTTGGTGATTGACTTTCCATTGTCATCATTGACTGGCTTAATCTGTGTCGAACTTTTGCCCGATAGGTTCCTAGTTGTTTGGTAGAGTGTGGCGAGGTCTCCTTTGCCTGCAGCTTGTTTGTTCTGCTTCACTTGCCATGGTTTCATAATATTTTCTTTTATCTCCCCTGGCACTCTTCTTCACTCTTTTGTTCAGTGTATTGTAGCTTGCATCCAACTCCTGTTTTTGTTGCTCGTCGGTACACTGGATAATCTTTTGTTTCACTATCCTTCTCTCCTCTATTAGTTTGCAAGTGTCTCAGTGAGCCACTGTTTGTCCTGCCTCTTCTTTCTTTCTTCCTTAACACCAACAATAAGGAATCTAAATCATCAGTAGTAATTCCATACAAGGAAGGAAGCTCGGAAGCCTTACGCAGAATTCTTAACAAGGCAAGAATAAAAGTGACTGGCATTCAAACCACCCACAAACTCAATTAGAAACAAGCTTTGTTGGTTAAAGGATCAATCCTGTGGAGCCTTTAAAACAAAACAATTTAGTTTATCTAATACTCTGTCGACAATGATTGTGAGGTCAAATACATAGGTCAAACTATTAGAACAGGGGCAGTCAGACTAGCAGAACATTAAAACCTAGCACAATCTAGATTGGTTGATCCAAATAAGATAAGAAATCTAGAGAATAGTTCAGCTATAGCATTGCATGCAATCACACACAACCATACAATAGGATGGATGAGACAGGATGACAGTTTTAAAGTCTAATGTCACAGGGTGGAGGGAGAGATTGATAACGGAGGCTTTGTTTATCGAATCAACTGGAAACGCGTGTAATACGGGTGATTCAACACTTGTTCCAGATATCTGGAAAATTTTACTACCCCTGCGACAAATGGGAGAGAACAAAGAAAACTATAAAGCTCAAGTTTCGAAGTCGTATGATTATAATTGATGGTGTGATTATGAACAATAAATTTTGTTTGAAACGTCATCCAGTGAATAATACAGTTTCACTGTGTGCTACATCTAATAACCAAACTAATATGGAATTACTTACGGCCACAGTGTCCAAGTTTTACACATATATTAATATGCCTCTTTCTGCTGTGAAATCATACAAATACATAATTGATTATAATGATTGGGAAACAGTTCCCAGTTGTAATAATGTTGTTATTTGTTAAATTATATTTTTGCCTAATAATCTGCTTTCTATTAATACATTTCTTAGTGGAAGATGAACATACAATTGTGTATGATGATGCTGCTATTGAACGCTTACTTGATCGTAGTCAACAAGGCTTAGAAGAGAAAGCTTTAGAAATGAATGATTATTTAACTTCATTCAAAGTGGCTCATTATGAAAAGAAGGGAGTCATTGAAGAAGAGGAAGATGAATCAGATGATGAAGATGAAAATCGTGAAGTAATTGTTTTTTGACTTTTATTAGTTCATTGTCTCTGTTTATTATTATTCTTGTTATTACTATTACTGTTGTGCCACGTGCAGTATGCAAATATTTTCTGGTGCCAACGTTATGACATAGTAGTATTTATCTATGTCAGAATCAGTATCTTTGTAAGCACCTGTTTCACAATCATAATTCCCCTTCATCAGTATTATCGTTCGTCAGAATACAAGTGTTTGATTTAATGAGGACGGAGAAATAAGAGTCACGCAATCATACATCGAAGTAATGTAAGTATGAAGAAAGATATTTTTTTTCATTCCTTTGCGCTCCGAGTGGAATACACAGGACTTCATACTTGTGCTTTAAAGTTTCACAGGCGGCGATGATGTTGTTTTTACACAGGGTGAGGTGGTTGCTCTTCTCGCACCCTCTTTTCTCACTTTTCTTGGCTTATTAGGGCGAGGTTTAGAGGTGCGTTGAGCCGGAATAATGGAATCCGGACCACATACATGGTTGGAGAGTTTTTTTTACTATTGAATAAATAAAGAAAGGTTGCAAGCTGAACCTCGTTCCAACTACAAGTAGCACATTTAAGAATGTCAAAACCAAAATCGGAAAGGCAAGACAGACCCTTATCACTCTGAAATCAGTTTTTTTTAATCTCCTGTACTCTTCATGAGTAACAAAATTCATATTTTCAACATTAATGTCAAGTCAGTCAGTTTTATGTGGATCAGGTACTTGCACTGCGCCGCACAAAAGGCATTTCCAGCATGTTGCAGACTTTTATCAACAACTGCCAGAAAGAATTAGCAGTAGGAAACTCTGAGAACAAGCCAACCACGGACTTTTTGCGCAAAAAATATGCGGAAGGAAATGGAGATGGATTGGCCACACGTTGAGGAGGCCGTCGAATGACATCACGCATCAGGCCACCGCTCTAGTGGAAACCGAGTGGGGCGTCCGAGGATGACGTGAAGGAAATCGTGGGAGGAGGAAATGAGAGACTATTAGCCATCGTGGGACCATCTAAAGTGGACTGCAGAGAATAGAACAAAGTGGAGATGTACTGTTGAGACCCTATGTTCCACTCGGAACCCAAGGGAACAATAATAAGTAATAATAATAATACAAGCTGAGCCTACCATATGGCTTTTAGTTTGTTTAGACCCGAGGAGAGGGCAGCTTTGAAACTTATTATCTATTAATTGAATGCTGTAGGATGATCTATTAGTCATGAAAACACAATAAGCAACTTTTTTTTATAAGTGTAACGATGATTTTAGTTATTGTATTAAGGCACTGGGTTTTTATTTCCAAAACTCACATAAGGGAGCTGCATATTTGCTATTAACCAGTAAAGTAAAAGAAAATCCACAAACTGATGTGAATTTATTCCTCTAAAACTGAGAAATTCACCATAATTATTATGGAAGTTAATTGTTTGCTATTGTTTGTTATCCTGTTCAACTCGTTTATATACTTTTGTGCAATGAAACAGTGACATTCATGTTTGTGTGTTTTTGCTGACTAATTTTGTGCAGAATCCTTGTTGTAACTAGATAAGGAGGTTTCACTATTGTATGGTTTTCGTTAACTGTTCACTACTAGTGTTAAGAAATAAGGGCCGACAGTATTTTACAAGTTACCATGAGATCAAAGGAGTTGTCTACTTAAGGCCTGTAGGTTCACACAACAACTTTCTATGATTCTGCGACCGGGAATCATAATGCAAAAGAACAAAGCAACAGTTGGTCTGTAATATCGTAGATATTAGTGTTTAACAAGGCAATACACGATAAATCTATGCAGGAAATTATCCTTTCAATTTTCACTTACATTCTACGCTTACCGTTTTCATCAGAAGTGTTGCGTAAAAGTATTGCTCTGAACTCCCTCAGAAGTGTTCATGCTATTCACCATCCCATTTTGAAACGATGACCGACTCAATAATCTGCTTGGTAGTATCTATGAATGTCAAATAAGTAGAGAAAATTTGTAGCTCAGTCAAATGATTTTGATGTGTTTTTATTCTCTAAACTAAGTGCCTTTATTGTCTTTCTGGGTATCACCTTCAATATAAAGTGAATTTATATGAATTCTCCGTGAACAGTGTAGTTGTATCTCCTGACAACCTTTGTTGTGATTGGCTGTTAATTGGTACTAGTATTGATTGTTTTTATTGACTTAAGATTTCACTTCTTATCATGTGGCTTTATTTCTTGTTAGTTGATAAGTTCGGTCTATAATAATCTTTCTGTTGGTTGCGTGTTCGTCTGAGTACCAGGCTTCTTAAAATGCTCTGGTAACATAACTGGCTACCTCATACTACTTGTAATCTGTCCAGTAGTATTTTTTATTGGAAATTATATGTTTCGTCAACGTGTTTAGTTAAAATAAGGACACTTATAGTCATTTAAATTTATCTGTTCTTTTGTTTAAATATATTCTTAGTGAATACTCAAGTAAACCCGAATCCTATCCAATCCATCTTCATTTTCTTCGGCATATTTGTTGGGTAATAGGATCTTGGTTGGTTTAACGCCCTAGTTCCTTTTCTTTTCCGGCTGATCCTCTTGCCTTCAGTAAGAAGCGAAAACAGCTGTTGCTGCTGAAAGTCTGCAGCCTGTTGGAAATGCTTTTGTTGACACAACAAGTCTCTGAACAATACAGAAACACTGGTTTGACATTATTGTTGAAAATCCTAATCTCATTCCTTAAGCGACAGATTTCCACAGTGATTTCACGGTAATGAACATCTGCCTTGCTTTTCCGATCTCGGCTTTAACATCTTCATCTGTGCCACCCTTAGGTGATACGATGGTGCAAGGATAAATGGAAGAAGTGACTCCCTTCGAATTTTTGTCGTTGATAGTGATTAGTGTTTGTTGTAGTTGGTTGATTATCTTCGTTACCCATGTCTTCCCCATGTTCACTTGAAGTCCAGTCTTCTCTGTTTCTGCTACCACCTTGTTGGTTCATGCCTATACATCCTTGACGTTGTGTGACATTAGATGTAAGTTTTTCGCGAAGTTCGAATCCTGCAAAGTCCTCCAGTCTGTCTCATGATCCAGTCCACCACAATCAAGAATATTCGAGTGTTAATGTGTTAAATATTGATGCACTTACTAGGAAGGTGAACATTCGACAAGTTCACTAGTAGGTGTATGATATTTTCAGTTTTCTTTCAAATACAATACTCAAAGGCAAACTTACCTGGTAGACTTTTTTGCTTAATACTCGTTTGACTATGTAGTGCCTGACTCATAGTTTATTATAGAAAGCCAATAAGAATCCAGTTTTCTTGGGATTTTGTGCTTTCTATTCACTTCACAAATTTGTTGAATTGGATGACTGAAGATAATTCTACATATTCCCTGTGTTCATGCATCACTAAGTGTCATCTTTAGAATTATCTTCTGGTAGGGTGGCCCTCATATACTTCCTGCTTTTAGAACAACTCCAATTTGTGCGGTGGTTGGAAATTTTTGTGTAATTCCCTCAGTTTATTATTTTGTAATAACATATATAATATCATGTTTACTCCAGGTTATCAAACAAGAACTTGATCCAGCAGATCCAACATATTGGGAAAAGCTACTACGACATCATTTTGAACAAGCTCAAGAAGATCAAGCCCGAGCTCTTGGCAAAGGTAAACGGGTTCGAAAACAAGTTAATTATTCAACAACTCAAGAAGAAGAGGAAGAATGGAATCAGGCTATGACCGATCATGATAGTGACTTTTCGAACAAGGTATGTCTATTTTGCTCAGATATTGCACGAAATGTCCTTATCCATTTTAACACTGCATGTCAGATTGCGAATATTACTCTGCAACATTTTGAAAATGTGTCTTGATAGCCTAGTGTAAAGATAGGTAGGTTGAAAGTGTTTGCCTACTTCACTTACTTAGTAAGTTGCATCAGTCCTAACGGACTGATTGCTGGCAAAATCCCAGCACGGAGACAGAATGGCTCGTGTGACATTTGCAAACTTACGTAATATTCAGCTCTCGATCAAAGGACGTGTGTACTTTGCAGTAGTTCCTTCTGCCCTCTATTGTTGCTGTGAGACATAGCCGTCGGAAAGTGGGAGACGTGGATTGACTAGCTGTCTTCGAGCACAGATGCTCTCATTCTATTTCCTGGTACAATATGGCAAGTAATATTGAGGTTAGACGTAGCGTTAGGTAAGGTGGGAAAATAATCTATGAAGTTGTGAACTTACATTAATTGATGTAGCTAGGACATGTATTACACATGCTGAGAAATGTTAGCTGGCATAAGATTAAATTGGAAAGGAGTCAGAGATTTTTCATTCCTTTGCGTTTCGAGTAGAATATAGGATTTCAGGCGGTGAGCTTTGAATTTCCGGTAGTACTGGTGTTTATTTTTTAGGGGGGGGGATTGCTAGACTCATATCCAAACTTCTCCCTTTGTCGGGTTTGCTACTGGGTAAGTGGGTTTTTAGAAGTGCGTTGGTCGAGAATCCAACCTAAACTACGTATATAGTTGGCGAGCATTCTACCTGTAAACCAACGACTCAACAAGTTGGAAAAGAGGAAGATGGTGAAATCAAAATCTGGAATCAATCCATGAAGCATTTGACTGTTGGTTTGAGCCAGCCACGTAGGAAGTTTTTTATAATCTGGATTGGTCCTGGAGATGCTAAGAAGTAATGCCTGGAGGCTGTCAGTAAAATCACACGAGGTTGTTCTCATTGGCGCATATACATTCATTCTTTGCGATCTACTAGATCCATTATGTGCTCATGTTCCTTCAGGCACTTGTCTGTTTCATATATCTCTGCTCATTATAATTCTTTTGGATTTTCTTCATTTTCTCTACCTTTATGTGCTATATGGATTATGGCGCTGCATTTTTGTGCAAAGTTCCACGTTGAAAACGGAGTTTCAGGTCATTAACAATCTCTGAGTCGTATCTCAGTATTATTAATGTAAAATGTCCAAGTTATCGTTTACTTTTTGTCCTTTTCCTATGTCTACCCTGAAAAGAGACTTTTGGAGTTGGCAATCTCATTTTTACCGAAGTATAAACAGACCTTTTTGCTATGGTATTACACATGTTTACTGTAGGAAAACCAGTCTATCTCGTCCATTCGCAGTAAATTCATAATGTTTTACTACAATAATATTTCGCCTGTATGATTACTATGGTGTTTGATAATTACTGAGGATATTAGATAGGTGTGTGATATATTCCCTTAAAAATGAAATCTCGCTTATCTCTTCTGATGTTTGCTCATATTTTGTCATGATTTATGGAACTTAGGATGAAGATGATGATGAATATGATGAACGTACAGGTGCAGCTGGCGGTGATGTCCCTGTGATGGGTCGTCGAACTCGACGTGAACGTGAAGGCAAAATGCCTCCACTTTTATCACGTGTAAATGGTCAGATTGAAGTGCTAGGTTTCAATGCTCGTCAACGTCGTTCTTTCCTCAATGCAGCAATGCGGTAGGTTCAATGTGTGCATGAATTTACTATATATGCATTTTGTATCTTGGCATATTTGTTTCATATAAATAAGATACATGTATTCGCTTTTCTTGACTTTGTAAGGATTTCTTAACTTACATGCAAAGGTAGCTTGTAATAGGAGACTACAAAAATAAGAAAAAAGTGTCCATAGTATACACTTATATGACTTATACCTATAAGGTTCAAGTTTAGACAAGAAGTTGTTTGAGAACAGGAGATAGGTTGAAATAAGCAACTAATGAGTTACCTAGTTGTCTGGTGAGTTCAACTCAAATAATAGTAAGAGAATTGTAATATACGAAAAAATAAAGAGGTTAAAGCAAAAGATTATTTATGTTATGAGATTACCTTATTCTGCACAAACCGTTTTTGATTTATTCAAAATTCGCAAGGGGTGTATTAAAAATGCAAAATTAAACCTTTCAAATTGCTCGAGAAGCGGACTAAAGATGTTCTACACATCTACATCAGATAGAAAATCAACATTGTACTTCCCCCAGACGTTCATCGGTTTGAAATGTCACATTTTGAAGAGGCATACATAAATCGTCTTCAGTGTAGCAGAATTACACTGGCGGTATATGAAAACTAGAAATATTCGAATGAAAATTTTGATGTAACTTCTTTCTTGCACTCTGGTATCCTACAATAACTACTCAACTCCTCTTAGCACCATTGCTCTTTTTTGGAGTGACAATAGGTATAGTGGCATGTCCAAATCACTTCAATCGATAGCGCCTGGTAACTGCATCGACTGACTTACCTACTTTACTCAACATTCCTTACCATACCACTTAAGGTGGGAGATGGGACAACTTTGAAGTTCTTTTTTTAATGAAAACTTATCACAGAATACATACCATCTTAGGGTTAGTCGGAATGCGCAATTTTCGGCACCGATTTCGTGTTAAAACTGCTACTGTCAAAGACGAGCTGGTGGTGGTAGTTCAACAGAAACGCCTAACCGCCATTATCAATTTCTTTTTGTTTACATTTGTGAGTACCATTCGAATGTTACTCCATCCTACTTTATATTTAGACATGGTAGTCATAGAGATTGTGGTAATTAGAGCTATTAATATTACAGATTTATTATCAGTAAACTTTACTAACATAAATATATTATCTATTGTTTTAATATTTACTGAAAGTATGAAATTTTTCATTACTTGCAATAGTACTCACCTTGTTATCTATTGTATTCTATCTGTTACTACAAAAGTACTCCGAAATATGAAAGAAAACTAGCTGACTGCTAAGTAGGTTGAGTTTTTTTCGCCTCTCTTTCAACTTTGATAATTAGTGCTAAATCCTTCTTAAAGCTAAAAAGATCTGTTTATCGAAAACCTTGCATTTTTTGCGGGGTGGGGTTGCTTACCTCACACCCAAACTTCCCTCTTTGTCGATCCTACGACCGGCTTAGCGAGGTTAAGGAGTGGAATCGAACCGCGGAACACGTGTGATATGGTTGGTGAGCGTTCTACGGTTGAACCGAAACCACAGTGGGTGTGTAATTTTGGTTTCCAGTAGTTGAATGGTATACGAGCTTGTCTTGTAACCGGAGGGTCCTGGGTTCGAAACCCAGTGTGGGCATTGCATTTCGCCTAGTCAAAAGTGTCGTAGCAGTTATATTTTATTCACTATAACTCTCCTTAGTCTCATATATATACGTATAAAATACAAATTAATGAAGTAAACTATTGTTAACTCTGCTGACAATAATCTACCTATAATTGTGAAATGATGGGTGTGACAATGCATATGAACTCAAGTCCCGTTAGTCTAAGTAACTTCTTTTAGCCATTTAATAATCTGTTGATTGTTGTTTCATTAAACTATGTAGAATTGTTGTCTATAACTGGAAACATGTTTTATGCTTATTTTTGGTATGTACTTTGGTTTTCGGTGTGTGTAATAACTTAAATGCTGCTAATTTTATTATATTAAAAAAAATTAAAAATATGTATATATAGGTATGGACTACCTCCAAGTGATCAGCCATGGATGGTCAGAGATTTGAGATGTAAACCTGATCGTGTATTTAGAGCATACATTTGTCTGTTTATGCGTCATCTGTGTGAACCTGAGACTGAAAATTCTGAAAGTTTCAGTGACGGCGTACCCCGTGAAGGTCTATCTACTCAGCATGTTCTAAGTCGTGTTGGAATAATGTCCCTTGTACGCAAGAAAGTGAGTCTTTGTGTATATTTTATGAAAACCTACGTATTCACTTTATTTTATTATTATTAGTAGAATGTTATTTTCGGGGTGTCATTTTACTTCCTTATCTTTTCGCTGTCTTTTATAGGAATCAGTATATTATAAGTATGTATGCATTACAAACAGACAAACTGTGAATGAATGGCTAAGTTTCAGCTAGAACTTTACACAGAATTACAACGGTTTAAGTATCTATACTCCATGTAGCATACAAACAAAGGAAGGAGAGAGAAAAAGGAAATTCAAACGAACTACAGTAAGTAGAAATGTATGAAAGAAAGACGAGTACCATGGGGAAACATGAGAATTTAAAGGATCTGGGAGATTATAGACAGCAATGAATGCACTTCCACCACTGGAAACGATTCTGAGTTATATCACTGATAGTCTCCAGCGACTGATTCTTAGCATCCGGGGAGTCTACACTTTCATACGTGGCTAGCTGAAAACAGTAGTTCTTTTTAATACAAATTTTTCAAGTACACTGGACTTCTTCAATGGGGCTTATTTTGTCGTCATCCGTCGACATATTCGGCTACATCAAGTATTATTCATCATGCTTAAAATTCACTTTTTGCTGGCGTTGAGACTATGTAATTGGTGGACAACCTGTGACATTGCATTGTAGGTGAGATGTAGTTGTGTTGAAGTTGCATCTATTGATGCATAATGACTCCCTGAGTGGGGTCCAAAGAGATCATGCAACTCAGCGGCTGGAAATGTTAACAAATTAGACTAAAAATCGAAATGTGGCTCATTGGTTTAGACACTTAACTTCCAGTCAGCGGGACACGAGATCGAAATCTATTTCGCCTCCTGTTTAGATTTAGACAACCAGGATATATCACTGCCCTTCATTGCCGACTGCATGTAATTGTAAGTGGTTGTTAAGTAACATTTCAGTTCAACAATCAAAATATGCTGCAGTATTCTTACTTCTTTTTCGGCGTTCATTCGAAATAAGGAACGTTCATTCTATAGTATTCTCGGAAAGTATGTTTACTTGTTGTCATCCTGTTGCCTCTCAATTATTTTATATTCTATTTTGCGTACATTTTGGTTTTATTTTGTATGGCTAATCTGTTATTTTCGAGTATGTGTCAAATTTGTTTTCTAATTGCATGATGTGATATTTTGAATAGTATTTTTCATAGTAAATAAAATATCACTGGTTAGAGGATGTAAGTAGGTAGCACTGATTGTTAAGTTGTATATCATAGTGTAAATTTTTTTATTGAAGATGCTATGCAATCAATTACTTTGAATAATATATTTCAAGTTTGTTTTCATTCACTTTGTGGTAGGTTCAAGAATTTGAAAAGATTAACGGACATTGGAGCATTCCAGAGTTAGAACCGAAACCAGAAAATAAAGATACAGAATTGCCGAAGACAGAGGATCCCAATGAAGTAGTACTAACAAAGAATGTTGGAGATGTGGAGAATTGTTCTGCAGTCACAGAAACCAATAATCATAATAATAAACAACCAGTGATTAGTGATGTTGACTCTCTTGGTAAGGAGAAAACTGTTAGCACCAAAGTGACCAGCGGTACAGGAGATGAAACGTGTTTAGCGGATGATGCTTCTAAGGCAAGTGATAAAACTGATCCTATGGAAATTGATGAATTACGTATAATTGCTGGACAAAATAAGGTGACAGATGATCCACAAACAAATACAAAGGTACGCTTACATTTTGTTGATTCACTCACACTCTTTTTCTTTGCACTCGGTAATAAATGAAATATCGACTGTGATAGCTCTAAGCGCAGTTATTTAGTTGTTTCTTCTTCAAGACGCTAAAATTAATGCCTACAGTAACTACTGTAATCAGTGAAAATGGGAGAGATGGATTGTGAAAGGCCTCTATTAAAGTTTGGATGACAAATCATTTTAAGACAAAGGTCGTTTCACTAGTGTAAATAGCTAAAGGACGAGATTTCGAGTACAACTTCCAACGAAATCCTAGTTACTATTTACATTGCTAGATAATAAAGACAACAACCGTTATAAGTGTTTTCGGCGAAGTTAAACTTTCGACATCACTAACTGCCAATCAGCGAATTATCCAATGAGATTCACGAACGATGTCGAATTATCCAACAAGGTTCACGAACGCAGTTCAATGTTGTATAGCGCTTGATTCATTTCTAATGCGTGACCTTACAAAGCTATTGTTGCAATTCGAGGAGGTTAGCGTTTTCCAGTATTTCCTGGATTTGAGTTGCGCCGGAAAGAGCGAATTTGTTTGTGTGGTGGTATCATGACTTTAAAAAGCTATACCAAGTCAACTGATGGGTTTGTTCATCGTTGTGCTATATGTTTGAAGCCTACTAACGCTAGAGAGAGTAAGCTGATAATTTTAATATTTCGTAGGAACTTTTTTCGCTAGGTCGCTTCTCTCCCTAAGGATAGCAGATAGAAAAGCAACTACTCTTATACCTATTATTACCAGACTTGTTAAGCGGGGGTCAATTATACACACCGACGAGTGGAAAGGCTACAATTCACTGTCATCTCTGGGATATATTCATCATAGAGTCAACCATTCAAGTGATTTTGTGGATCCCGTTACGAGGACACATACAAGTTCTATTGAAGGATTTCGGGGCAGGTTGAAAAATAGGATAAGGGCTATAAATGGATCTCATTTATGGTCATTTGGATGAATATACGTACAGGATATGGTGTAACTTCTCCATTGACAGTCCCATGATAAACTGGGAGATGTTTCTCTCACATGTTCGAGAAAGATATCCCATATAACTTTTTTATTCTCTATTTTATGGTTTTTTCTACAAATATACATTTCCATTCACCATATATGCCTCTTTAATGTGACTGGTCCATTCAAGGTCGTTTGCTGATTGGTTGTTAGTGGTGTCGAAAGTTTAACTTTGCCGTGTTTTCATATAAATTTATGCACACGAGTGGTTTGATTTTGTTTTCATCCGGTTGGTTGCCTTTTCTGTTGGTACTTCAAGCGTTAACCAGGAACCGCTCTGAACATAAGCCTAACATGAAAAAGATACATTCAAGCAGGCGAAGATGTTATCGTTAAATTATTTCTCCTTCAACTAGTTTTCTGACAGTGTTTTCTTAGAGTATATGTTATTGAACTATTGTTTAACAGTGCCTTGACACTACGGTATGATGAATAAGGTTGTGAATTTCACAGTAAAAATATTCAATGTATAGACTAGTAAACTCTGTAAGGTGCTTTTTGCCATTAGTCAGGCATGCATCGGTTCTTTAAGATGTTTTCGAAATTCTATCTGTAAATCGAATTCACACTCCGAGGTGAGATTTCCTTACAGTTTCTTTTGGAAACCGAAATTATTTACATCACGATATGTGGTTTGCTTGATATACCATAGATGGTGATCAAGAAAGCAAGCATAAATACTACTGATTGATTGATATGAGTAATTGTCTGCAACTCACATCAACCACAAAGTGTTTACTAGCCAGATCGAAAGGATCCAAACATCAAATGGCTAATTCGTGTGTTTGGGGGGTCTGAGCGAGACGTCGCGTAGTTTGAACTGACTCGGCTGTCTGACTTAAGTCAAACCGGGCACATCACTGATGAGCTGGGCCCCAAACGAGCGTGGTTGGTGTGAGTGATATCGAACTACTCATTCCAGTTAATCAGTAGTATATAGTTTCATGCGGATTCGTAGGAGTTGCTATTCAGGTCAATTAATATACACATGAAATCATAGGAAAAATTAAAAAAGACGGTTGCAGCGAAGACAATTCGACTAAGTCATCAACTAGGCTGTACATTGGATTATATATAGTAAATTGGTGAGAAAGTTCACGGTTGAGAGGCACATCAACAAGGAATAAAATATAATAAAAGCAAGTAAGCAGAAAGTATATATGGCGTCATTTTATGTCGAAGTCAAAAGTCTTTAAAATAAAGATACCAAATCACTAACCACTGGTTATCGTTACACCGAAAGACCTCATCTTATGAATACATCGGTCGTTCGACGCACGTCCTGTCCAAGAGGATTTAAGAACACTATCCAGCATGGTTCCGAAAAGGCAATAGTGGTGCAATAATTGAACACTTGGTTAACACTGATCACTGCATTTCAACAAATGCCCCCTTCAAAGTAATATACAGAGTCAAGAATAACTTATCAAAGGCAATACGGTTTCGTCTCCTTTGTATCGCTGAAGCTCTGGCCATTCACATGGAAAAACCGGAGCTGTGCATAGAAAAGAAGATTACTCAACCACTTCTACTTTCATGGTAACAATGTTTTGATTTGCTTTGAGTTTTTTATTTTGATGACTTAATTTTGTTTCTTTGCCTGTTCTTTAATTGCTTATAATTCTTGTATTCACTTAGATCTCTTACATAGTTTCGTATTATCTGCTTTGTTTCTATGCGCATCCTGAGTAAAACTCACTCATCAAACTATTCATATTATTATTACATAGCTTCTTTTAACAACTGTTTGTGACAACTCATTACCTTTGTTACTACCCGAGTTTCATTAACACTTAATTTCCTTGACCTGTATTACCAACCGTCACCTGTTTAGTTAAAAGTAACCTTAACCAATTGTAATTTTGTTTGACAAACTTAATGTACACATACATACAAAACAACACATATATATATTTGCGATTGTACAGCTAAGAAAATGAATTCGCCGAAAAGAGACTCTTCGCTGATCTACGTGTTTTGTTTTCATGAAGCCTTCAGCACCAGTAAATTTTAGGTTTTCCTATTAAAATAAAGAAAAAGCGTGCGTCCACCTCTAAAATATATCCGTGGTGCTTTGTGTCACAACATTGAGTATTTATTATTTGCCTGAATCCCTCCTATTGTTCAGCTTTATGACTTAATATATCCTATTATTTTCTACATTAATGTGTTTAAAATTACTTAGGTGGAGACGACAGCTGATTCTTCAGATATTGCTAAGGAATGTGTAAACGAGAGGGAAAATGGAAAGGTGGAAGATTCACAAAACACAGACGATGCTTACATAGCTAGCCTTGAATTCATGTTTAATATTGCGGACGGTGGTTTCACTGAACTTCATACTATCTGGTTGAATGAACAGCGAGCATTGATAAAAAATCGTGAGGCAGAAATTTGGCATCGTCGACACGACTACTGGCTTCTAGCTGGTGTAGTGCAACACGGATATGGCAGATGGCAGGTAAGTGTTACTAAGATAAGATATTGTCTTAATCTTGTAAATAATCAAGAACAAAGCTAAAGAATAGTGATCACAGCAGCAGACGTGCCAATGCACATAAACACGTTTATATGGGTTACGAATGCAACAATTTCTTATCACACCGAAATGTACGTTAGGTAAAAATACTTTCTCGGCGGTCGTTCTTCATAGTAAATGTTTCACACGTGTTATGGAAGATTAGCTGTAAAGGCTCATTCACTATCTCTGTAAAATTTTCGATAACTTTTATTTCCTAACTCTATAGCCCCTTATGGCGTTAGTTGTGATTGGACTGTCCAGTATTATGTGGTAGGAGTTTAACTTAATTCATTCAAGAACTGTGAAGCACAGTATCAAATGACAATGCAGACCTAGAAATTAAATGATGGGTCGTATCGCCTAATACAGACGCATTTGGTGGTTGTTCCTGATTCATGTTGGCTGCGGACTCATTACCTAAAGTTTTGTCATATTTCAGCACCATATAATTTGTACTTCACTGACTGTGTTAGTTTAATTCCCCTATATATTGCCGTTTGGTTTATTTTTAATATTTCCCACAGGATATACATAATGACCCGCGTTATGCAATTGTGAATGAACCGTTTAAAAATGAAGCTCAAAAAGCCAACTACTTAGAAATTAAAAATCGTTTCTTGGCCCGTCGTTTTAAGTTGTTAGAACAAGCATTAATAATCGAGGAACAGCTCCGTCGAGCAGCCCAGCTAAATATTCCAGCAGATCAATCGGAACACATACAAAGTTTAAATAGACGATTCACTGAGCTTGAGTGTTTGGCTACAGGACAGTTGCATCTTTTCAATGATGCCTTGGCCGGTAACAAAGCTTTAGTTCCATTGTTACACAAAGGTAAGTTGTATGATTTTAGAGTGATCTGTTTATGCCGAGTCGCCATCATTTCAATGCGAATATTTGTAGGACTGATAACTGAAAGCACATCTACACTTCATAAACACTGTCTGATTTTTCACATAAATGAGCCAACAAGCTGATGAAACTTGAAGGATAGTTACGAATCTTCTCCAAAAATCATAACTTGAAGACGATTAAAAATAGTAATTAACAGAAGGCTTGAAAACAGCAACAGATCTGTTGTATAGAATTATTACTTATGCAAAGTTTCTGTGTATGCGAGAGATGAGTTATTCACGTCTACCATTTCTCTTTTCTACATGTGTCTTTAACACTTTATCGGTGTCTTTGTTTTGTTACAGTTCTGACTCTTATGGAGGATATTCTGGTCGATATGAAACAAGATGTTGCACGGCTGGTTAACTTATTGCCTCGACTACCTCCTGTCACTCAACGTTTACAACTAAGTCATACAGGTCTTCTAGGAAAGCTAACACAGCAGCTTACTGCTAACAAAAATGCACAGTCAACATCTAGTCAAAAGCAGTCTGAAACAAAAGAAGAACCTGTGAATCTGGTTACTCCACCTCCAGAAACCTCCCAACAGCCGTCTTAATATCCCGATGCAGCTATGCACCAAAAATACTTGTATAGTTCTACATTTTTCTCATCCCCATAATGTTTCAATGTTTACTCATTGTTTCTGTAATAAAACTAAATAATATAATTTTAATCATTTTATTTCAAAGTTCATTCATTTAGCCGAAACACTAAATCCATTTACAAATCTAAGCAAGTCAAAAAGAAAAGATGCGAAATAAAGAGATATTATGTTATTATTAAAAGCATTGTCGAATTGCGCTGGCACTTATGGAGAAAAAAAATTTCATATAACGCACCACAGGCTTAAGTTTCGTTTACCTTAGTCTTCCATCTTGTGCATTTTCGCTATGCGTTTACGTAATTCAATAGGGAAGAGTTCGTAACACGATTTGCATACTGGTTTGTAGTCGAATTCATAGAACTTTGTCCTGTGAACCAAAGGACATAACGGAAAAGTAATTAAGGATAAATGAATGTCACACTGCAAAGTGTGATCTAAGCAAGTTAATCCCCCGCAAAATAGATTTGTTGTCTTCATTTCGGTGTTTACTCTTACTGTCCCAAAAGAAACTCTTTCTTTATTCACATAGACTCGTATTCGAATTATAGACAAACTTATTGAAAGACACTCGAGCAGCAGTTTTCTCATAAAGTGGCTTTCACGCCGGAAACTACTACTTTGATTCTGAAGACATAAAGAATAAGCAAGGGGTGCTGAAATTGGAGAGCTAGGATGACTGTACGAGGTAATAAGGTGAGCAATGTGAATACGTTTAAGTTATACAGCTGGTCATTTACTATTTCTCCTTGACTTTTATGGTGCTGCTACCTAAGCGAGCAGTTGTCTTTTGATGTCAGATGTCTACTTTTCAAACCCAAATAGTTAATTGGTACAACTAGTGAACGGATTTTCTGATGTGCAGACATATTTTACTATACGAATTCACAATTTGACTGGTTCAATCAACACGCCACCAAAGGATACGTCATATATCCAAAGCCATACCACTGCTAATGAGAATGCTTCGAGGATAGGCAACACCAGGCAACTCTTTAGACTCATCAGGGAAACGGGTGGGAGAAGACAAATCATCAGTGAGACAATCTCGGAAAAAAATGGCACTATAATTAGCTCCCAGGATAGACGACTGGATCGTTGGAAAGAGCATTATGAGGAGCAGTTTAATTTGCCCACAGCCACGCTCAACCTTCCGAGCATCCAACACCTCCCTGAATGGGATATAGACACAGGTCCTCCGTCCCTAACTGAGGTTACTAAAGCTGTCACCAATCTGAAACTAGGCAAAGCAGCGGGACCTGATGGAATGACTCCAGAGGTATTTAAGTACGGTGGAGACAGCTTACTGTCCGGATTAACTGAGGTACTAGGCAGCGTCTGGGAATCAGAAGAAGTCCCATCGGGTTGGTGTAAGTCACTGATTATCCCCATATACAAGAAGGGAGACAAGTCTTCCTGTGATAATCACAGAGGGATTAGCTTGACTAATATAGTATCTAAAGTCTTAGGCTCAATAATCATGCGTAGACTGAGTGGTGCTCGGGAAGCACAAACACGAGAGAGCCAGGCAGGCTTTAGACCAGGAAGAGGGTGTATTGATCATATCTTCACCCTCCGACAGATTCTAGAACATAGGCATTCCTACCGGCGTCCAACAGTCATTATATTTCTTGACCTAAAGGCAGCATTCGACTCTGTCGATCGGAAGTTCTCTGGAGATGCTTGGCTGTAAAGGGAATTCCGAGAAAATATATTGCACTGATTAAGGCACTCTACTCGTACTCATACAGCCAGGTGAGGGCTTACGGCGAGCTGTCATCTGAACTGATGACGACCAGTGGTGTCCGTCAAGGATGCCCATTATCTCCTTTTCTATTCAACTTCATCATAGATGTGTTAATGGACTTAACCCTAGGTGACTTCAGCGACTCAGGGATTGACTTGCTACCGGGGAATAATCTCGTTGACTTGGAATATGCAGACGATATAGTCCTTCTAGGCGAAGACGCTGACGAAATGCAGAGTCTTCTAAACACCTTGAGCCGCAATCTACGAATGTTTGGCATGCGATTCGCTCCCGCCAAATGCAAGATGATGTTACAGGACTGGACTACATCGACGCCTAGTTTAAAAATAGGAAGTGAAGTGGTAGAGCACGTTGACCGCTTCACTTATTTGGGAAGTACCATCAGCCCCAACGGGCTGATCTCTGACGAAATCTCAGCACGAATACAAGGGGCTCGTTTCGCATTTGTTAGTTTACGCCGACTCTGGCGTAGACGAGATGTTCGACTATCGACCAAAGGGCGGGTGTACTGCTCATCAGTCCGCTCCGTCCTCCTTTATGGTTGTGAGACCTGGCCACTGAGAGTGGAAGACATGAAAAGACTAGCTGTCTTTGATCATAGGTGCCTGCGTTCTATTTCCCGTGTAAAGTGGCATAATAAGGTGAGCAACATGGAGGTTAGGCGTAGAGTTCTAGGTAAACAGGGGAAATCAATCGACGAAGTCGTGAAGCTACAAAGACTGAGATGGTTAGGACATGTGTTACGTATGCCAAGCCATCGCCTCCCTCGACGAGCTATGTTAGCGGATATAGGGTCAGGCTGGAAAAAAGCTAGCGGCGGTCAAACAAAAACTTGGCATCAGTCAATGAAATCCACAACAGTTGGTCTAAGCCACGTAGAAAGGTGTAGACTTCCAGGCTGGGGTCCTCGGGACGGTAAAAATCTATGGTTGGAAACAATTGGTGACATGGCTCAAAATCGTTCTCAGTGGCGCAGATGCATCCACTCCTTGTGACTTATGATCTCCAATGAAACTGTTTTGTATTTCTTTATTACTCCTTTGTCTCACACCTCTGCTCACTGTTTCTATTATGCTTTTCTTGTACTTTCTTCTCTTGCTTCGCGTGCTACACGGAATGTGGCGACTTGAACTTCCGCACATTTGTGCAAAGTTCTATGTCGAAAACAGACAGACAGATACCACTGCTAATGGTCTGTTTTAATCGCGAACGGCAAGTTCATCGTAGCCTACAGTGTGTCCCATTAAAACAAACTTTACATGGTGTGCTTATTTTCCAAATGTCCCTCTGAACTGTAGCATGACGAGAAGCCTACTGCTACGTAATTTCCATTAATAAAGAAGTATTTAGAGCTGTCTTTATTCTGATATAGCATTTACTATTGTGAATGTCTTGTCTGTGGAACTGAACAGGAAATGTTCATACAAAAGACAGAAAAAAAGAAGACTTTAAGCCATAAGTCATATGATTTCATTTTTTAAGCATAGAATGTTGAAAATACAATGATTTTCATATCTTGCTTTAGTTTGTGAAAGTCGAGTGAGTGACTTATGGTCTTCCTGTACGAAGACTTATCAATAAAGTCTTTAAGCCACCTACAACTATTCATTCCCCCTGAATAACCTGATGCAAAATCAAAAGAAACGGGTGGAAGCTGCTGCACTGTAAACGTTTTCAATTCACATGGAAATGTTAGATGCTGATGGATTAATAAATACACTTACTTAGGACTTAAACGTCTATCGCACACACTGCATCCAAAATGGTCTACGCACCATGCTTTATTTAAGGCATACACTGTTTCGCCAGGTATAACTTGATTACAAGAGTAGCACAGCATTCCAAACAATAATTGATAGTGTAATTCACAATAAGCCAATCCTTTCTTTTCATAATGTCGAGAACCTAAAAATGGTTTCTCACATCTAGCACAAACGAAATGTTCTACGTGCCACGTTTTTCCCAAAGCATGGACAACTCGTTCTTCAATAGGACGCCTGAAATAGTGACCCCAAAAACAAAAATATTTTGACAGTTATTGATTGTATGTGAAAAATCATTTAAGATTAAATTCCATAAATATCGATTTAAGAACAGAAAAATTGTGTTCCCGTCAGAGTTATTAGACAGATATTTCTGCATAGTTTTCAGCTAACATTAATTACCTGAAGATAAGGTGTTTATGTTACATATGAAAAATGTAATCGATAATTAAAACTGCTATCATCTAAAAAGCAAGTTAATACCTAACCCACACTCTAGCGCCATCCCCACTGTAGAGACTGTGAATTTTTGTGGGGAGTATTAGAAAAATTCTTGGCTTGCCTGTTTAGATATTTTGTACCTAAAACTGACAATTCTTAAGGATTAGAACAACTACCACATGATCGGTAAAATTTTGATGTAAACTACATATTAGTGTAAAGCCGAAGAAGAGGAACTGATTGAAAAGGAATATATTTCTCCGCTCAGTTTGTTGTTCCGTAGTTACCTGACCGCCAAATTTGTGTTAAATCCAGAAAGGGAGTGAAATATTAGATAGAACTGATCTCAGGTTGAAAGATGTAGTGTAGAGCCACTACTTATTTACTGTGTCTCTATCCTAAAAACTATCACAGTTACAACAAGTCTCCGTTGTAATGTTTCAGCAATGACTTAGGATTCATAATGCCATATACAAGCAGAGAACATCTTAAACGCTTTTACAAAGGTAGGACATGTTACAAGGAATGAATTTACTTCAGCTACAACGAAACAGATATATTCCTTACAAAATGTGACTTACCTGCATGCACCGCATATAGGAATTCCCATCTTGTCGTGACAGCGAAGACAGTATAGATCTCCATCTTTTTCTCTGGCATCAGAGGAGAGCTCAGAACCACAAGAGGCACATGAGAAATGATACGCATGGTATACTTCGGAGCGATATTTCAGTTGTTGTCCCTCTTCCACAACGGCTCGGCATTTGTGACAAACGATGTATGCCGAGCCCGATGCTTTCTCGTGCTCGTTACATGCGTGGCAAACAGCTCTAGCATCATGGTAAAAAAATATTGAACAGTTAGAATGAATCATACGTCAGGAAACTATAAATATATTTCGTACAGAAATTTCTCTCCATAAATTTGAAAACAAACATTGGTAACAGGGAATTCCACCAACCACCTGCAGCTCAGATGAAAAC